CGTGACAGGTGGATTGTGGGTACTGGGGGCATCCCAGGCGGATTGTTGGTACAAGGGGCAGGGCAGGGAATTGTGGGTATGGGGGGCAGGACAGGGGATTGTAGGTACTGGGGGGGGGGCGCTGCCAGGTGGATTGTGGGTACCGGGGAGGGTGCCAGGCGGATTGTGGGTGTGGCAGGCAGGGAAGCGGATCGTGGGTTCCAGGGAAGAGGTGGGGCCGGCCGGGGGGCGCTGTGGGTGGCCGGCCATGCTCTGACCCGTTCCCGGGCCCCTGGCAGGAGCGCCGCCGAGCGGAACGGAACGAGCAGGTGCGGTTCCGGACCGAGAAGGAGCGGGAACGCCAGGCCAAGCTAGCGGTGAGTCCCCCCACATCCCCCTATCCTGGGCTGGGGAGGTCATCCCCTCCAGTCTGTACCCCCCCAGCCGCATGGCTGACAGCTCTGCTCCCCGCCCCCCATGCAGGAAGAGAAGCTGCGCAAGGAGGAGGAGGAGGCCAAGAAACGGGCCGAAGACGACGCCAAGAAGAAGAAGGTTCTGTCCACCATGCCGCATTTCGGTGGCTATCTGGTCAAGGTGAGGGGGGAGTCAGGGAGCGGGGGGGACCTGGGGGGAGAGAGGTTGGACAGGGACATTGGATGGGGGGGGCGCTGTGCTGCAGGGATCGGGGTGTGGACTCAGGGCTGGTCCCCTTGCTGCAGTATGGGGAGTGGTCTGAAAATCACCAGCTGCCCTGCCCCAGAGGCAGCCGCATCTCAGCGCTGGGTGAGGGGTCACCATATAAGCAACCCCGGCGTTCCACCCCAGAGATGGCCGCATCTCAGCGCCGGGTGAGGGGTCCCACTATAACCAGCCCCCTGAGACCCACCCCAGAGGGCCCGGCTCTGGAGGGAGCCTGTGTTGACGTGACCCCCCTGCCCTGTTTGCCAGGCCGAGCAGAAACGGGGCAAGCGGCAGACGGGGCGGGAGATGAAGAACCGGATCTTGGCCGAGCGACGGAAGCCCCTAAACATCGATAGCATGCGGGAGGATGAGCTGAGGTACGGGGGGGGGGGAGGGGGAGCACTCAGGGGACTTCATTTCCCATGATGCTCTGTGCTTGGCTCCCATTTCCCATGATCCCTTGGGGTTAGCAACCATGGCTACCCCTTGGCCATCTATGGTCCCATTTCCCATGATGCTCTGCACTTGGCTCTCATTTCCCATAATCCCTTGAGGTTAGGAACCCAATCCGCTACTTTGGTCATCTGTGTCCATTTCCCTGGATGCTCTGCTCTTTGTTCCCATTTCCCATGATCCCCTGGGGTTAGCAACCATTGCTACCTTGGCCATCTATGCCCTCATTTCCCATGATGCTCTACGCTTTGTTCCCATGAGCCCCTGGGGCTAGCAAGCACCACTACCTCGTGTGGAGCATGCCTGCTGTTTCCCGGGGCACTCTGGGTACGAGCGGCCCTTGCTGGGCCGGGGGCTGACTAGCAGCTGCCCCGATCCTGACAGCGCCTCCTTCTGGCCCCACAGGGAGAAGGCCAAGGAGCTGCACGACTGGATCCACCAGCTGGAGTCGGAGAAGTTTGACCTCATGGAGAAACTCAAGCGCCAGAAATACGAGGTGAGAGAATGGGGCGCCGGCTCCCATCCAGCCCCGGGGTGGGGCATTGGCTGGCTCCGGGGGGCGGGGTGGGGAGGGTAAACTGAGGCTGGCCCAGCTGGGTAATAACTGGTTCTTCCACCCCTTTGCAGATTAACATCCTCTACAACAGCATCAGCCATGCCCAGAAATTGTGAGTAGCCGCCGCAGTATCCATCTCCCCCGCTTGGGACGGGGGTTGGGGTCCTGATCCAGAGACCAACCCCCCAAAATCCTTCTCCCCCCTCCCAGCCCCCGGGGGGGCCAGCGCTGGGCCGTGGGGGAGGGGGCTGAGAGCAGCGGGGCTGGTGGGGTGAGGCGCGGGGGAGGGACACGGTGGGGTGGGGGTGGGAATCTGGGGGGGCTGCTGACGCCTTTTTCTCACCCCCCCTTTTCTCTCCGCAGCAAGAAGGGGGCCCCCAAGGCCCGCCTGGGCGGCCGCTGGAAATGA